GCGCTGCAAAATCGTTTCAAGCTGTAAGTTTCTTTTGGGGGGGTTTTATCCTCTGATTGAACTATAAGCTTTTTGACGAAATTGATAGGGGTCTTCTGCTTAATGGGTTCTTCTTAGTTTATAGTAAGCAATTCAAAATACCAATGATCTCTGATGGATTGAAATTGAAAGTTACCATCTTTAAATTTTGGGGTTTTAGGGTTTCTGATTCAGTTTATCATCAAGTGATTGAAGAAATTGATAGGGTTCTTATGCTAAATTGTCTCACTTGCTATTGATCTCTGATAGATTAGTATTGCCCCAGTAATATCGTAAGATTGAAATTGGCAGTTATCAATCTGATTGTTTTTATTAACTAGATAATTTTAGGCTTTTGGGGTTTTTTGTTTGTTTCATTTGATTATTCTTATAGAGAAACTGATGTTGGTGTTTACTTTACTTTTTTTTTTATGTAGCTGTTGATCTTAGGTCTTCTAAAGTGTGTGGTATTGGATTATTGAACATCAAAGCACAACATGTGTTTTACCCTTTTGAAAGAGATAAATTCAGATGTCGGTATGATTACTATTGGGCTTCTGTCTTCAAGGTTGTAAGATATTTCAGCAATATCTGTCTTTTGGTTTAGAATCAATGAGAATTCTCTTATCACATCACGGATTGTTCGTTTCGATGATCGTATTCACAGGTAGAGTATAAAGATCACTTAATGGGTCAAACACGGCTAGCGTTTTCAGAAGCACCAAATGAAGCTCTTCCTCCTGAGTGTAGACCTAACTTTGGTGCGGCATTGCTTACCAAAGATAACTTCAAGGCAGGTTCTTTTAACCGTAAAGATTCTCGGACTGGATAGTAGTTAATTAGCTTGTGCTGAATCGCATTGTGTTTCTAATTGCAGTATCATTTGTTTCTCTCCAGGTGAATGAGACTTACGATTGCTGGTACACAATAGGGATTCCAAAAATAAAGCTTTATCGAGACAGCTTTTTCGGTTGCCAAGCAAATGATCTTTCTTTCACCGACATTGTTAAGCAATACTCTCTCCTGTAAGTTCTTATGTTTGGTATTTCATTTTTTATTCATTTCATCATAACTAAGCACATACAACTGTAGGAGTCTAGGAGAGTCATGAAAAAGAAAGCATAATAGCCATAGTGATCCGTAATAGCACAAGGATTTGAGTGTTTGTTTTGTCAGAATCATATACAAATGTTGTTTCATCTGCTTAGTTTCTCATTCATGTCTTGTCTTGGCATTGTTGTTCGTGGAATCACTTTCATTGGTTTTTTTCCAGATTACTGTCATGGTTTAATGGAAAAGCAAGACCAAAGTACTGGAGATATGATGTGATTGCTGGAATTGTCTCTGGCTTCTCAACTTCCATTATTACAGTCTTTATCGTACGGATCTTAAGACATGCAAAGTCTTGGTTCCCTCGAGCTTGTTCTTCAGTTAGGAGCCAGTTTTCAAAGGTGAATCTCTTGGTACAAGTGAAACGTGCTTGTTTGGTTCTTGTTTACTTCTCCATTCTTGGCTGGATGGCTACACAATATCTGAAAATTCTTTTTCCAAAGGCTTAGAGTCAAAACATTACTTGAGAGAATCAGTGAACATGCAACCATTGTATTGTAGACAATTTTTATGATGTAAATTTCAATCATTTACAGCAAAAGAGAGCAATATAGAGAACAGCTTTAAAGACTGAGGATTGATAGGTTAAAAATCTCTTACCAATTCTTTCATAAAACAAAACAACGAGTTTTGGTAAAATCCGATTTCTCTCATGAATCTTACAACTCTTGTCAAGTAGACATTTCTGATGGATGAGATGAAGTTACATTGTTGTTTGGTTCCTCAGTTTCTTCTTCTCGATCAGCTTCTGTGTCGTCAGTGTCTTGAAGATGAGGAAGAACAACTTTTGGCTTTTTCGCATTCGAAGAAGCTTCTTCTTTCTCCTCCTCGTTTCCAACCTCGGGATCCTTTCTTTTTAGATCCTTGTTATCTCCTTCAATACTACGACTCTCTGGTTTCACTTCTTCTGTCTTTTTCTCATTGTTTGCTTTACCTTTCCTCGCTTGCTCTTCACATTCTTCAAGGAAGTTTTGGGTTTCGGCGTTACCCGCAACATCTGCTGGATTCTTCCCGGCCTTTGTCATGGCTCTGACATCTGCTCCTTTCTTAACCAAGTACTTGACGAGCTCAAAGTGAGAACCTTGAGCAGCGTAGTGAAGAGGTGTAAGTCCCTTACGAGTGATGGACTTCACTGAAACCCCGGCGGATAACAGAGTTCTCACAACTTCCAAGTGTCCCTTTTGGCAAGCAAAGTGAATAGCACCCATGTCATCTACTGCTGCAGCGCCAACATCGGCTTTGTTTTTGCATAAGTAGCTCACGACCTCGTTATGGCCTGCCCATGCTGCCAAGTGTAGCCTGTTGCTCCAAGAGATCATGATGTTAAGGCAAAAGAAATTGACAAACAAAGGGACTGTAAATACATGAAAAGTAGATTGAATCTATCACTGCTATAATCGACAAACCAAGTTACTGATGACTTGTTCACTTTCCTAGCAATCAAATCGAATATCAAAGTATTCTCTATGTTCTTGAAAGATTTTGTCGTGTAAGAAGCAATTCGAGATTTCTACTATATAATCATAATCAAAGACTAGACGCAGAGAGAAAGCATTTCAACATGAAACCCTAGGTTTTAAAACCCTACGAATCTCGAGATGAACCCTAACTAAAGGGCCAAAGCAAATAACATTCAACAAACATAAGAGAATCAAAAGCTGTAATAAAGCAACGCAAGAAAACTCGAAGACAAGTGATTTTCGGGGAAGAAAAGGATACGGAGTCCGAGAATGTTTATCCCTAGAATTGACGGCTAAAGGATTAGAGCTGATAATAGATTGAACAGCCGCTAAATCACCGGATCTCGCCGCCGAATGAAGATCCGCCGATTCTCCTCTTCTTCCACCGCCGCTGCTTCCGCCGCCTACCATTTCGTCTTCTCCGGTGCTTCCGTCTCTGTTTCGTGATCAGTGAACGAATATGTCGGTTCGGGTTAAATCCAAACAAGCCGGGTTTAACCGACTAAAATAATTGAGCTAAGCCCAAACTAAGCCCATCTAGTTACACGAATCCATGTGTCTCAACGGACCGGTTCCTTACCGGTTCTCGATTTCGGTTCCAATAACCGGTCCAGAGAATGGCCAATTTGAGAAGCATTTACGAGAAAATGGTTATGTATCATCTCCGTAATCACTTTCAACAAAATAATATGATATGGTTTGAAAATAATGTGATGTGGCATTTTTGAATTTATAACTAAATATTTTCTACAAATAAATTTATATATATTTCCATAAATAAATTAAAAGAGTTTTTAATTAATATTTATGAGATTTTCATTTTTTATTCCAAAATTATATATAAATTTTCGTTTTTCATCTAAAAATAGTTTAGAAATTGATTATTATAATAATAAAATTCTAGAACATGTTTCTAGAATATATATTCTTTTCTCAATTAATAATAAAGACTTACTAATTTTTAAAAGATTTATTTATATATTTTGTTAAATAACTTCCCAAATTTATAACAACAAACATAATTATTATTTTGAAATATTTTTTAACACAATACAATTTGAAAGTAATAAAAATATTATTTAATTCGAAAGTAATAAAAAAAATTTTAATCCGTGTTTCATTTATCAAA